GCGGAATCGGTTCCATATAGGAGGTTGTGTAACTGACTGTGGTGAAATGAATATTGATTGCATTGATCAAGGAAATGACAGGAGTCAAATCGCCAACTCTAAACGCATTCGAAATGGGCGTGAGGCAGGTTCAGGTGATTTTACTGAAATGAGCAGCTTGCGTACAATCGAGGATGGAAGTGCTTACTTCTACTTTAGTCGTCGATAATAAATAAAGTTTAAAAACAGATTTGCAGTGAAATAGTGGCCACCAGTACCTGTTTTCGATGTGAAAATCGTGAAAAAGTTGTGTGGCGTAAACAATAAGTTCACTCGTCAAAAAACCCAATTAGAAGTCGCAGACGGAGGAAACTTTGGGAACCAGCGTTCCCGATCGATCGGTACTTCAACAATGATACGGAACTTATGAAATGCAGTAAAAGTGCTAGAAACGAAGCTATATCGCCCAGCAGTTGCCCAGCACCTGTACTTCCCACATCAAAAACCCCTGATGATCGTTTACGAATAAAATAATTCGGGCGCAATGATCGATACAGCCCTCGTAAGTTTTATTGAATACAAAAAGATATGAAACCAATTGATTGTCCAATGTTTGCTTGACATCTAGAGAGCACAGAAACAAAGCAAGTGAAATACCATAACAAAGGAGAGGTTTTGAAATGAACTTTATGAAAAGCTTCTATTCTCGGAACTGGAGTAAGCGATTGAAGCTTGTTCAATTCGCCAGAAAATCGAGCCAGAACAAGATGTAATCGCTTCGTAGCGCTGTTGGAAACAATTCGAGACCTTTCGAGCGCTTGACAAATTGGAGCGATCAGTTTTGGCCGCAACATGAAACGAGTAGCCGGCATGGGAGGAAGATGGAATGGAGCACCTATTAAACGAAGCGAAAACATAAAGGAAAGTTCAATTCACTCCAAAAAATTCTAATAAATGATTAATTATGACATGAGACAGAATAAGGATAAAAACTTGTGTCCTCTCTCGATTAAATTACTACTCAGTTAAGACTTCTGATTTTGTTAGAATTCGTAAGTGCAGTTTACTACTTCTGGAGTAGAGATGAGTTACTTTGCGAGTTTGAAGCCCTTGAGAAGCGCGGAGCATCTAATCCTGAAGTCATCAACACAGGCACTCGTTCTGTTTAAATGCTGCTTCCATGGAGATGAAAGGAAAAAGAAGAAGAAGGGGAAAGTTCACTAAATTACGTTTTTGGATTAAGTTTATCCGGTATTCCTGCTAGAAACATAGTTCTCGTAAGAAGAACGGCAAAATGTGAAACAAACTAACAATCGCTTCAAAGTGTAGCGAAAGAAATGAAACCAAAGCGACGAAAATTGGTGTGAAACTTGCAATCTGACACAGAATTCTTGTAGAAAAAAGTCCAAACGTTATGCAGAACGAACCGCAAAACTGATCAGGCCACAAGTAAATCTAATTCAGAAATCCAGTTTGCCAATCAAAGCCAGGAAAACAAGGTGCACATATGTATTCCGTTGAAAAAAGCCCACACACAACTGACACGCCTACAAACGTTCTGAATAATGGACAGAGAAATTTTAGAGGAGACCACAGTTATGAATTGAATATTTGATCACAATTATAAATTATTCCATTCAGCTGCTTTTACTGTCTGCACTTTCACATCCATTCATCCCGTTTAATGCCTCCTATTAAACTCCTCATACCGGTGGTGGCCAACAATAAAAACCTTTTATTAGTTTTCTCGAATTTCCGGACCAGGTCGTTCGACTTCAAGCCCCCAATTCAATTATACGCCAAGCTTCCCTATTAAAAATTCATTACAACCTAAAATTACTTTTCCTCACAGGAAGTAATTGAATAGTCTTCTGCAAGGAAAAGCAATTTTGGGTTGTAACGAATTTTTAATAGTATACCACTGATGAAACAAGACATCTTACACTGGTCTTCTACAAAAGGTAGGTTTTCACAACCCAAACATATGTATAGCCCTTTCATTCACAAAGAGATAGCGTTCACCTACGCTTACACCTAATCAATAGCTTATTTCTTAGTATGGCATGGTCCGTGACTCCCTTCGAGATCGTTCCCTGGCAGTTTTCTCCCAGAAATAACTGCCTACGATGCTCGGGAACGAGGGGAAGAACCAATGACGTGAAAAAGAAACCATTCGATTGTCCCCTAAATTGGACTCAGGTGCATTATCAACGTACTGATGACGTTGTCAGTCTTGATTAATCAACAGTATTTATTTCTCTTCCTGTCGAACCGATAAATCGAGTTCTAGACTGATAAGGCCATTCCTATACTAGCTCAGCATTTGTAAAAAAAAAAAAGAAATAAATGGTAATTTGCTATCGGATTTCTAACTTCCATATTCGCTTCAACTGAAGCTCCCTTCCAACGGAACTCGTTAAAAGAATACAAACGAACTGCAAGAAAACAGAATTTGCTGCAAAATGACAAACGGCGTTTTGACGATATACAAAAGCCCATTGAAAACCAAAACGATTCAATGCTCGATGAGCCACGCTATGAATTCTGGAGTAAGCTTGAAATAACGCCTAGCTCCTGAATAAACCAAAATAAATGTAAATGAATGAATATGAACATGACTAGAGAACAGATAAGAGGAATGCGTGACAGAAAACGTGAAAAGCAGAGAACTCTGACGAGAGCTTTCACCGTCATCAACAATCCATATGGGACCTCATCGATTCACGTGCTCAGCTGCTAATTGTGTGACCCAGTCGTATTGAGTACTTGGGTGTGGTTTCATGCCATTGTTGTCTTGTTTCTTTCATTAAATTTGTATTTGGGAACGTGTGATCGCATATGGTTACCTAATAATCGATCCATCGATTCTTTAAAGTGTTTATAGCCTGATTACAGGGTACTTCCCCATGTCCCAGTTGCGTGACCCAGTTGCCTTCTTCTTGCCATTTAATCAACTCATCGTTTACCTGTTGTTTTTTGGATGCCATTTAAGTGTAGTGGTTATATGTTATGTGCAAATGTCACAGCTCGGTTTTTATGCTCTTTTCGTCTTCCACTTTTAGCACTATTTCCTAATCATCCTGATGTCCGTCTAGCGAGCCGACGAGGTTATCGCCTCACTTCAAAACTACCCTGTAGCTGTTTGGTGGAGTAGGGGTTGTTGTGAATAGATAACTTATGTGTTTCGAGATCGTCGGTGATTCTATTTCTTTGCTTAGTTTGACGGCTATTTTACTGGAAGAAACTAGTTACTCGTCTCTATTGACGAGTTGGTTGGGCTGGTTTTATGCTGATATAGGTTAACATCATTTTCATGTCTAACGCCATAACTGTATTGTATATTTCTCCTGCTTTCTTACTGAAAGTGCTTTTTTCTAGCCGCTTAGGAGTGCCGTATTGTTTCCAGATCTCTAGAGATAGCACTAGTACTTTTTCAGCTCAGAGTTCGAGATGCTATTTTACAACTAGGACTCCTACGTATTGCTTTTGCTTGGTAGTACGATTTATTCTGTAGTACCTTGCTTTAGCATTACCATGATTGGAGAAAAGATAAGTTTTTCAAGGCCAGAAAGAGAGACGTCGTGCCCGTGCCATCTATGAGGGTGTCCTTGTTTTTGTCGTTTGCGCGTTCTTCGGGGTAAACGAGTGCAATGCACGTGATCACCGACTGACTACCTGACTGACTGACTGATTGATTGCTGTTGTGTATCTCGGTGTGCTTCGATCGATCTACATTTAGCATTCCTTCAGATGCACCGGTCGGCGTCGCTCTTGCTGCATGCTTGCCGTACATCAGCATGTAAGCAAATCCAAAGAGGTGTACGTATGAGCTGTCCGGCACAATGTACAACGTCGGGTGATGGAAGTGGAGACAACGATCTCCCTACGAATCCACCAAAGACAGCGCCGGCTCTTGGCCCGTGTAAAGAATGTGGTTTCCCTTTGAAACCGGCTCCTACACTTACACGTGAGTAGTTTTTTTAGGCGATATGTGAGTGGATGATTGTAGTGGGAGGGTGGCAAAAGCCTCTTCCCCTACTCCCATATTCAGATGCTGAATTGGTTGGTAGTGAAGGGACCTAACCCATCATTCTTGGTTCATTTTGTTAATTGATTTGTTGTTTCACATTATTTGCTCTTGAATTCAGAAGCAAAAAGCGAAATGGATTTGTTTGTTCGTTGAATTGGGATCTAAACCAAAAAATCGAAATGGCTATGGGCCTGTTTATTGTCACGCCCACTCCCATCCTCGTTACACACTTTATGTGTCTTTGAACACCCCTAATAAAACATGATTTCATCATTAGCAGGGATTCTCCCATTTAACACATTTCTGTGCGCTGGTTGATTTCATAAACAATCTCGGCCAATTTCTACGTTCATAATGACTTACCCTTGACCTCAAAACTTAACTTACTGAAATTACTTGGAAACCCGATACACACTCTAGGTATGACAGGCAAAATACGCACTTGACTTTGGTTACCACTTTGAAATGTAGCAAGTTTATATTCAAAGGCTTTCAGCTGTGTGTCACCAACACTTTTTTGTGCGAATCAATCTGACCACTTTATCGATCCATATTAAGGTTAAGATCGGGTGGGGCAGCTATTTTACACCCGAACTATGATACAAATTTTGTAAGTAAGTTGTATCCATTATGTTTTGAAGGCTGCACATTTGACTGGTGTCCTCGAAGTTAGAAAAAAAGAGTTCAGCATGCTAAGAGTTATCGAGGCTGTGAGTTATGAAATTTGAAGTTACATAGATCTTACAATGGCAGACTTTATTAACAGAAACGAGGAAAATCAGTTGGAACCTGCGTAGAGTTCGAGTTATTAGGGATATATTGGTCGAGTATAATTTGCGACAAGGACATATTTATTATTGGTGAGGAAACCTTCCTGATTTCAGCGACAACGAGATATATTCACTGCGACAATTGTAATAAGTTGTATGCCGGTAATATAATAGAAGAGAGTTCTAAACAATGGACAGTGAAAATTGAGCAGAGAAGAAGTCCTCCGTATCCAAGTCAGGTTTGTTTTTGAAGTGTTCAGCTTGTTAACCTTTCATATTTTCATTCAATATGTTGCAATCCCAGAATATCGTGTTTACGTCGACTTTGGTCGTGTAACATTGGTTCATGTTTATATTAATTACAGTTTTTCATGTATTTTTGTGTTGGGGCCGTTTCACTTACGGTATAGAATCCGTCTTGTGACTGATAAAGCCCAAAAACTGCAAAGCCTTTCACTATACTAAGCTAGCAAAGAGCACGCTTGATTTTTTTTGCCTAAAGTTTTTTTCGGGGAGGTCTTGTTTCCTACGCGTAGTTTGTTACCAAACAATTTGCTTTGAAGATCTTAAAGGTCTTTTTCCCACTCTTCAAGTGGTGCCATAGACCACTGCGCCACAAGTTTTCCTGGAACGATTGGCTCTGTTGTCTGGAATGAACGGGTTTCCTAACATGGTAAACACCGAAGGAAATGTTCCTTGCTTCAGCATTGCATGATATTGACTTTGAAAACCTATCTCAAGTTTTATTTCTCGTTTGTCATTCCATTCTATGAAAATCGTTGTAAACGGAATGGCATATGTACGGTAGTTCTCATTCCTATAACATACCGAACATTTTTTCCAGATAGCAGAATATCTCGATCGTTTTGTTGTGGGTCAGAAGCAGGCAAAGAAGACCCTGGCCGTAGGCGTGTATCAACACTACAGGCGACTTGAGCACAATATTGAGAGTGGAGCAGCTTCTATCCATCAAATCAAAGAAGACGTTAAAAATACCCCAAGAGGAGTTTTGTATCAGGTGAGTTCGATTCCAATGGTCTGGAGCGTCTCACATTTCTTTTCTACTGTCTGTGAGCTAGTAAATTATCGATTCGGTTGTTCTTGGCTTCAGGATGAGAATCGGCTTGGTCATATTGCCACCAGCGAGTTGAGATCATCGCCAATCACTTCTGCATACATGCAGGTAAGTTCTTCTTCATGGCTAAATCCTGTGCTTTCTAAATTTCCCGGCTTCCATTCCCAATGTTGCCTTAATGCAGCTTGTAATTTTTTGGCAGAATCACCAAAGGAAATCTCATGAGACGTTGTAATTGTTGCGTAAAATGTTCCCAGAGAAGCCTTAGGCTCCACGTAATGCATTGGGAACTCCGGACAAAATCGTTTAGGAAAAGAGCGTGACTGTTCTGGGAGTTCTTATCCCGGTTAAGGGCCTGGTATGATCATTTGCTTCTGTGGATGTATTTTTCTACACTTCTTTTTGATTTGTCGAGGAAGCATAGCTTTCTTGCCGGGTGAAGCGGTTGCATGTGAAGCCTGAAATATTTATCCCCTCATTCGACGTAAGTAATAACTTTCAGAGTCGCTCACCTTTTTTCCTTCAGTTCAGTTTCAAATTTTTGCAGTTCAGAATTGTTTTGCTGTAAATATGTTCAAGTATGCTCTTGTTTAGCAAGTTCCATCGATGCAAACTCCTCCCGCAAAAAGAGCGCCACCAGTGTTCAGAGCAATCCCAGACAAAGAACCAGTTGTTAGACTTGAAAAGTCCAACATCCTGCTTATTGGTCCATCAGGTGTCGGAAAAACTTTCCTCACCCAAACTTTGGCAAGGTCAGCAGTTTAATTCGAGAATTTTTTGTGATATTTTGCTTGTTACTTCAATGGTTCTTATATTACGTCTTTTCTGTCCAACTTCTTACTCCGTAATTGATGTAAATTTGTGTTTTTGTCATTGTGAGAAAGTTTCATGCTCGGATCAATCAAGCGATTGAAAATCTTAACATAGAAGAGTTATTAGTGTTTCTTATTTCGTGGACTTGAACCTACGTTTCTTTATTGTTGGGTGTAGAATTTATTTATTTACTTATCCGTTCAAGACATGTGACAACAAATGTGGATAACATCAACAACAAGAATACAAATGAAAGTTTACTTACAGCTCACATACCTACTTTTTATTCAGAATACTTGACGTTCCTATTGCGCTTTGTGACTGCACCTCTATGACTCAAGCTGGATACGTTGGTGAGGATGTGGAAAGCGTGATTCAAGTAAGTGCTTATGTAGAGTTAGGATGATTCATTGCGCAATTTTTCCTACTGACGAGTATGTTGTAGAAACTAGTACAAGCGGCGGGTGGAAATGCGGAAAAAGCTCAACAGGGCATTGTTTTTCTCGATGAAGTAGACAAGGTAAGTATCTTAAGTGATAATTATGGCTAAAGCATATTTACATGCAGTTGCATGCTGTGACAACTCGGCGCAGCTCTCGATTGGTATTAACAACAATAGTTTAGATAGCAGCAGCACACGAGGGACATTCCCCTGCTTATCGTGATGTCAGTGGCGAAGGGGTCCAACACGCTCTTCTGAAATTAGTAGAGGGTACGGTAGTCAATGTGAAAAGCGGACGCAAAAGTGTCGGAGCACAACAGGATACTGTTCAGGTGGGGAAATTCAAAAACCGTTTTACGTGTATGCTTTCTCTATTCGGAGTCGTAATCAAATTTCAATCTTATTTACGAAAGGCTGAGCCATAGATTTATAGTTATGAAGTCACCTTATAGGTTGATACGTCTGATATTCTTTTCGTTGCATCCGGTGCTTTCAACAACTTGGACAAAATCGTGGCACGTCGGCTCGACAAGAAGAGCTTGGGATTCGGTGAGGATTTCTTGCTGCCTACAATGGATCTACCGTTCGGTGACCTATCTAATGACATGCACCTACCATTTCTAATCATAATCATGATGTGATCAGCACTCGAAACTTCGTTTTAACGTTTATTGAATAATAAGAATGTCTAAAGTGTAATTAGAAAAGTTCGTTGAGAAGCCAATCTCACCACAATTACTTTAAATCTTTTGATTCTTTTCCTTACACGTAGAATGCACGATAATGTGCCAGAGCAAGCGCACGCTGTTCCGAAATTTTAATGACTATTGCCATTCATTTTGTGATAAGATTGTTAGACATCCAAAAATAACTTATCACTGAGGATGAGAAAAAAAGGAACGTGCTAGAACTCGTGAGATGCTAGAACTCGCGCTTTCGCGCTCTTTTAATAGGCTACCGAGTAATTAAGAAAGATTCTATAATCTGTTTTTTATTTTAGCGGTTTTTGGGACTTTTTGTCGGGCGATTTTTGTTCCACCGTTTATTTTATCCCTCGCATGATCGTCTATAATTACGTTAAGGATCGTCATCGGGTGAACTTCGCGTGACAGCTGATGATGCCAACTCAGAGCAAGCACGTAAACGTGATTATTTGCTGTCCAAAGCGGATCAAGGCGATCTTATTAATTTTGGAATAGTTCCTGAACTAGTCGGTCGATTCCCAGTACTCGTACCATTCCATTCATTCGATCAAGACGTAGGTTTAATGGCAACGTTTTGCTTCTTGCGGCTGCCATCTGCTCTTATGCTTGCATTCGGAACAGGAGGTCCTTCTTAATCCAAAATTATTTCAGATGTTAGTTCGTGTACTCACCGAACCACAGAATTCGCTACTTACTCAGTTGAAGTTGCAATTCGCTATCGATAACGTGGGTTGTTATAAAACTGAAACCCTTGTAAAAAAGTTTTGCTCTCAATTTAACCAATCCATAGCTATTTTTAGGTCGATCTTTCCTTTTCATCAGAAGCTTTACAGCAAGTTGCACAATTGGCTTTGGAAAGGAAAACAGGTGATTCAGTGGGATTCTTTGTTTTCCTTCTTACCCGTCCATTTATTAGGATTGACACCATGTGAAGGGGTTGAGATTTTCAACTACATTTCATCAGATTTCAGTGCCAGTCTTGCCCTAGTGCAGCACAGGGTGGCACTGTCTGCTTAAGATCAATCATATGGGGAACCGCTGATGTTTTTGATATTGGCAGTTGGCTTGTGAACGTGGAAATCCGTGCTGTACATGAAATTTTCAAAGTCTTCGAATACATCACGACGAAAGCATCGTTGATGAAGGAAGTACATGCAAACAGATACTGCTGTTTTCGAGTGAGAAAGATCAAAAGACGGCCATATCGCTCTGCTCCGTTAGATTTCAATTTTGAATAGCTTTCTTCTTCTAACTTTTTCTAATTTCCTTCTCTCCACATGTTCTTGTTCGTTACAGTGAGTTGTGCGAGTTAAACGATTCACAAGTCAGTATTCATCATCTTAACCCATTGGCGACCGCGCCTTTTTAGCGTGTCTGGCGTGTGGGACCGAGCGCGCTTTTCACGGGCTGCTGCTGTGGCCCGCTGGCGAGCAACACGGTATTAGGAACAAGTAAATTCTTTCGTAAGCATTTCGAGCCGACAAAAAAGTTTTTTAAATGTGGCATGTAAAGATTATAAGTCATACACACTATTTAGAGCTACGTTATGGCATCTAATGTTGATTGTTCAAAGGGAGTGAGAGTTTTTACCAAATCATTTCCAAATGCGACTCTGTCTAGACACGAGGAAGCAGACAAGATGGGAATGACATGTTTCGAATCATTGAATAGCTCAGCAAAGTCCCTTTACATCCTTTTTACATAAATTTGGTCACCTTTGGTTTTGCTCCTTTACCAATGCCCTCAGAAGTAATTTTCTTTTTTTTTATTACTAAAGTCAGAAGTAAACGTTTCACGGACCACTGCGCGTCAAATTCCATAGTAGGTCATAAACGTGCTCGATACGTGTAAGGGTCGAAAAAAATCGAAAATGAATGTTATACATGGAAAATAAAACTGTGGCCCGTATACGGGCCACGCGGTCATCAATGGGTTAATCAGCTGCCCTTCTAAATAGGTAATATTTTGTTTTCTCAGTTCAAGGGCCAGCATCGGCTATCATAGAGCAGCTGGAATGATGTGAGATTTACAAATTGGTCCTAGAGCTCCTCCCCTTTTCCGATATCAGGCTGTCTTCAGCTTAGGTCTCCAATAGCTAGACATGGGCTTCTTCATAATATCATTCATGATAGACAAAGGAGAGAAACTACCTCGAAGCTGATCTCTGATGTAACTCCTATCGTGATGTTTACCTTGTTCTTCAGGCCGAATTTTCCATCGTCTTTATCAAGGAGGTTAGAGTGATGTTCTTCTCATTAGGCATGCTCCATAGTATTGATTTCATACACGATTGCACTGCATTAGTTTAGCTATGAAGATGACACTTGCTTTGCGCCCAGTGGGCATGATTCTTCTTTAGAGGTTGGACACGTTCGCTCGATTTTGAGTTGTCTAACCGCTCGTATGTCTCGAGAATGCGCTGTCAGCTCAAATTCAAAGTTTGGTGTATATCACTAGCATTTCCATTGTATCTCCTCTGATGACCGGCATCTTTTCTTTCGCGGTTGTAGTTTCAAGGAAAGCAATTAGTCCCTCTATATCCCTTTTAGTCAGACATCTCTTTTAGTCGTCTCCTCAACCTTTCTTCTCTCTCATCGAAAAATTCATCTGTCAGGAGTGCTGCAGAATGCAAATGCAATCATCCATCAGCACTACTTTTGCCTAGTTCGCTTCTTCAGAGTGATTTATCCCCTGCTTTTTACATAGTCTCCCTTCTCATGTACCTTGGGTAGGCTTCTAGGGTGAACTACTCCGCTAAGGGGCTTTTCATACATGTCGGCAATCGCCATGTCCTCTTAGCTGGTGTTTCTTGCAAATCGCGCATCGCTGTTTGACGTCCGTGGCTTATGGCACTGGCACCTTTGTGCGATGTTCCTCTGCGTCCCAAGTCATTCGACTTTCTTCAAGTCCCATGGTGTTACATCTTCTGGCTACACTTCCCATCCCACACATTGTATAATGATTTTCAAACGTTGCTTAGGGTTCCCTGAACTGTTCATTGACGGTGTGGGATACCGTTTAGAATCTATTTTTGAGTTCGCCCATCTCTGTGGGTGCAGCTACCACCATAGAACTCCCTGTCATTTGCTCGGCCGTACTCAAATACGAATATTTTTGAAGAGCGGTCCTATCACGAGCACTTGGTCGACCCCCGTTTCCCTTTCTCCTTTGCTGTAGTTTGCCGTCTGACCAAGGCACTGCAGATTGGTTTGCCGCCACCCCCTCTTGCCTTCTTCTCTTTATTAGATCAAGCTTCTTTCTCGTTCTAGCCTTGGCTCTCTTCTCCGGAAATAGAACCAAACATTCTGGTGCTACATCAAGCAATAGTGGTTTTATCAGCTAACGCACGTTCGCAGTCCCAGCTCGAACTAAATTTTTTTGCCGAATTCGTTCACCATCTTCCTCTTTCCCCAACAGAGGACTCCTTTGCATAGGCACGCAGCTCGAACGACCCTTCTTGATTTACTCTTAGACTGAATACGTGTCGAGGCAAGTATCAGACCTTTCAGGATTCTCCTGGTTGATGATGTGATCCAGCACTTTCATCACTCATCGTTTGTTAGACTAGAATCAGTAGAGTACATACTATAGTAGAGCGGGAAATCCTTAATGAGGTCGTTCACTAGAATTGTTTCTGCCTAATTTACCGAATTAAAATCGAACGCAGAGTCTTCCCTAGACCTCAACTGTCGAGCCTTCTTCAGGCTCCATAGATATTCGTTCTTGGGGCCTCTGATAATTTGTTTGCTGTATACGAGACTGAAGCAATGTTATACTTTTCAGGAGCTCGAGCTCTACGTTCCATTCTTGAAGGAGTGCTGCTTGATGCGAAGTTTACAGTTCCGGGCAGTGATATTGAGTCGATACATGTCACACGGTACGTCGGTTTTGAATTGTAGCTTGAGTAACTTTTCACTCGTCATTACTAAGTCTTTACAGGGAAGCGGTGCTAGGAGAAGCTGAAGTGGAGTACACAAGGCGGGTTGTGGAGAACAAACAAGCTGTATCGGCTATGTAAAAGAAAAAAAAATTTCAATCCTTTCTTCCATCTTTGCGAATGTGACTGTGATTCACCAATGTATTTATGTTTGCTAACCAAGTTTCGCAGAGCGGTATCGCTTGTGTGTGACATCTGTCAAAAGTGGGTATTTTTTCAATTTTTGGTTTATCTGACCCTTTTAGAATGGAGAAACTATCGTTTTATGGATAGTTAACCGTAAGAGCTAACCATAGTTGTTTTGTTTTGTTGTGGGAACCTATTCTGTTCTTCAGCCATCAGAATGTATTACTATGAACGTTAGTTTGGGTGAGTAGACCCGTGTTGTACATAGAATTGTAAGCAAATTTGTAGATTAAAATCTTATTGGCCTTATATTAGATCATGTAATCAAGGTATTATTCCATTGTTCTGCCCATCTCGTCGATGTCTTACATGAGGCTACACCGTCATCAAACGATTTTCTCAATGTTTTAAAAAGTGTAGATAATCAGGAAATATGATAGGGAAGTGATCTTATAAACTCGTTTTCTATATCGATGGATTACAAATAAAATCAAATTAGTGCCTACGGTCTTCATTGCAATGTCTAAGGGTAAATTCCCAATCACTGTGTCGAGAGTAGGCACTAAACCTGGTCAAACATTTTTTGTGATCGGGGAAAACTCCGAGAATCTAATGTATCTTGTCATTCTAAAAAGGGCCTGGGTTTACCGGCCTCAATCATAAGGAATTCATCCGTCGCACTCTCAAAATTCCTTATACGTCAATTCTCATTTTGTATCTCTTGTTCTAATCACTGTTTTCACCTTACTTTTTTTTTAAGAAAACTAGAAATAAATCTGTTCATAATCAATCGCCTACAAGGGGAGGCGATAGATTTTTCTGTAGAAAGGGGCTGTTGAATGGGGCACATAGATCCCATCTCCGTCCTGTCCTTGTTTTAGAAACGAAACTTTGAGCCTAGGATTGAACTAGGTAACGGTCTATTCTCTCGTCTTTCAAAGAACTAGAACCAGTTCATGATGAATGCCATTTATGGATTACGACATGGAGCAACAAATAACAACAGCCTATTGTCAAACAACTTCTAATCTGTATAAAGAAAGCCAAGTCGCACCTGCATCGTAAAAAAAACCTAGTCATCTATATCATTTCACAAAACAAAACTTTACAGTTGATTCTAACTGATATCCAAGTAGGGTCACTCAGTGTTTCTTTGCTGCTTGCACTGCGGCAGAAGGACCCAAAAGCATCTGTCGTTGTTGGGCTACCTGAAAATTGTGTGAATTCATAGATTTCTGACTGTTTATTCAATTGATATTATTCAAAAGGAGATAGTTATTCAAACCTGAGTTTTTTCGAGATCACTTCTCTCCTTTTCGATAACATAAGGCATAAACATGATGAGCGACGTTGTGGCACCTATCCAGACAGCTTGACGAGCGATATACCAAAGGGATTTCACTCCCCATACACTCCATGAAGCACCATTAGTAATGGTTTTACGTAAACTGGCTGGAATCATCTCCGTAAGACCTTCCAGTCTTTCCATAAGTGTCTCTTCGAGTTCGTCATCGGGGATGTCATCGAATTCGTCCCCACCTCGAAGTGCCATCTGTAATTTTAGTATTGGTGATATGGTTTTAGTGCTGATAAAACAAAGGATACATCATGAAACAAACGAACATCAGGAAAAGCAAAAGTAGGGCGGAGTAATCCTCCCATTCAAAATATCAATATATTTTTTATATTTTTGAGTCCAGTTCAACAATGCAAGTAAATTCGAAATAAAACATGGAACAAAATCATAATGAAAGACAATTTCATACATTTATCAGGTTAATAGTGACAATTCTATCATCAACTCTTGAACTTCTACCACTATTTAATGATGCAATTCTGTCAAGTCTGCACTTGCTTGAGTATCAACATTTTATTCTTGCAACAGGCACTCATTTATATTGTTTACGCCCCGATTAACTATGATATAAACACCATACTGAACATATTGTTCTAACACATCCGGGACATTGGGGTTTAGGCGAAGCCCTGCAGAAATAAAGTGGCAAGAAACGTTTTAGGAATGATTACATCCTGCAGAGGTCCTAATCATTTAGAGGGTAGGGGAACCTGAAGAGTGGAGGCCTAAAGGTTTCACGACGAGTATATATTTGTCTTGCCTAATATGTCGTAAAACTACAACTACGCTCGGAGAAATAAAAATTCTTACGAGAGTTGGCTAGATGAGTGCTATCACCAACTTTCTCAGAAAAATTTTCCAGTCATTGAGGTCTTGCTCGACCTATTCAACTGGACTTGTACTCGCACCTGATTTCCAAGCCCAAATGCAAAACATTTAACAAAAAAAAAATGAAAAAAAGAAGTGAACTCGTCACAGTTTTGACAGAATTCAACTTCGTGTAAGCTGCTCTATTGAGAAATGGTCCTGACAAGAATTAAGACTCTTGCCAGTTGCATCCCTTTAAATTTGTTGAAAGAGCGCCACATTTCGAAAAGAGTGCCAGGCTTCAGGGCTTCCCTTGGCTGCCGTGCTCTAGGCCGTTCGTCGAGTCTGGGAACGAATTCAAAGTTTCCTTTGTTCCAAGGACTTCTACAGGGCCATGTTCCTATCCTTCCTATCGTCCCTTACGGATTAATTTCACCATCCGTTTTAATTCAAAGTGACTGCTGGTTGTTTGTACTGCATGCTATTCCGTTGTATAGGCGCTCAGTTCCTTGTCGTTTTTGAAAAATCGTCTCAGTTCAAACCTTATATTTTAGCCATTTTTGGCAGCATAGAAGCGTACTCTTTAGCCGGTTCCGTGATGACTTTTATACCTTTTTGCGGTTCCTGCCCTCCTACCTTATTGCTGCTGGTTTATAGGATATAAACGATAGACTGTTTCGAAATAGATGTCTTTTTTGGTAGTAGAGTCTTACCACTTTAATAAGTATCCGACAATAATCTCTGCTAGTTGAAATAATGCTGTCTCGCCTTCCTTCTTTGATATTATTGAATTAGTAGCTTTGCATTCCTTATTCGGTCAGGGATAATACATCGTTTTCAGTTATTAATTGCTGACTTGGCAACTATGAATCCAAATGAAAGTTTCTTATCTACTATTTCTACGTCAAACACTTCAGCTACAGTATGTTTCTATGTTGAAGAAGTATATGTTGTGGCATTTTTTCCATTTCAACTAATGGTAGGTGGGGAACAGTTACAACCCTCAGCTTTTATCATATTTAGACAATGGCTAGGATAATTGCTAATGTAGTGGATACGCAACAACATCTCGTTAGTCAATATCAGACTGTTGTGAGTGCTTTGGAATCATTAAAGGTATGAATGGTTTCGGTTAATGTTAGATTGTTTGACAATTATTTTTTATCATCAGTGTTTTAGCTGGAAGTTCGTGATTCCACCCAATCACTACGGGAAGAGTTGAGAAGAACTGATGATCGCGCACAGAAGCAGGTATGTACCTTTTGATTTTATCTTTTTTGGGACGTTCTGGGAGCTAATTTGTTTCAGGTTGATGATTTACGTGTCACTCATGTTAATGAAGTCGCTCGTCTTATGGATCTAGTAAAGATGTTAGTTCAAGCAAAGGACCAGAGCGCTAATGCTCCTCAATCACACTCAGTTCCACCAGAAGCACCCCGAATGACACCGGCTCAGATGGTAAGCGGAATCGTTTGTGAGAACATCCTAAAACCAATGGATCATTTGAGGCTTACGCAAATGCTGCTCCAGCAAGCAATTTCTTCGGACCGCAGACAGGTGCTTTCAATGATCTGGCTGCTCAAGCTCAGGCTCATTATGCAGCTTGTTATCTACAACAACTTCAAGAGCAACAGGTAATTGTAATTTGTTCAGGTGTCAGGGAGTTTTTTTAGCTCATTCTATTTCCAGAGAATGCGTACGGCTGGAATGCAGGCTACGGGCTTCTTTGGTAACCAACCCGGAGTTAACGTGGGCGGCATAGGCATTCCTGGATCCTTTTCCCAGAGGTAGTTGAATTCTAAATAATTTCTTTCTTTCGTTTCTCTTCACGTCGCTCATTCTTTATTTTAGTCAACACGCAGCACCAGTCGTACCTCCAGTCGCAGCTACTGTCCCCAAACCGGTGGCCACTTCTATGAACGCTGTGCCACCCACAACTGTAGTGGCTCCTATCCCTCCGCCTAACGCTGCATTCCCTCCTACGTTCGCATCCGCTGCACCTTCAACTACATCCACTCCTTTAGCTGCGCCTACTCCTTCTACTACCTCTACTACTTCTCTGGCGCCTACCACTGGTACTTCATCTGGTTCGTTATTTTTTGTCATTGTTATTATGAAGAGCTTGCTCTTAGACAAAGAGCTTGAAGACACCCTTTAGTTAGGCTGATTGCTGGAGGTTCAGGACTATTTGGGACCGCGGCCAAGCCAGTGGTTACTGTTCCCTTACCTGTTTCTGGTGCTGTGCAGCCACCAAAATCGGAACCGTTGAAAGTGAGAAATTGCTATTTTTGTAGTGTGTCACACATTTTCTGTTAATTGCCTACTTTCTCTTATAAGAGCTGAGAAAGAAAAGGGGGGCAATCACGGCATCGAAGAGTTGAGGGATTGCATACTGAATCATTTCCTCACTTTTCTTCCATAATCTTGATCATATATTGCGCAAGCGTTAGGGTCGCAGTAAACCCACCTCCGATCACGTTTTTATGTGTAGGAAGGTGAAGATGGATTGAATCCTGACTTTCGTACGCTAGAATAAATACCCGCTTCAAAAGCTAACCTGGTTTTGATTGTATCGCCCTACGTTTTACTGTCTGAAAAGACCGAAATTACTTTTCAGGCTATACCTTTCTCCTTTGGTGCTCCGAAGACTACTTCACCTGCTACGACTACATCAGTGGTCTCGGAGACTGCAAAGCCGACAACGAACATTTTTGCGGGAATAAAGCCAACCGAGAATGTGTTTTCGAAAAGTTAGTATTCATCAGTATGCCCAGATAACAAATTAGAATGTAATTTTGCATTTACAGCTCCAGAGACGAAACCAACAATAAAGAAAGAAGGAGATGGTGCTGAGGACGAGGATCATGATCATGTTGAGGAATTCGAGCCTCAAGTCGACTTTAAACCAGTTTGCCCACTCCCTGAGCTAGTGGAGGTTGTAACTGGAGAAGAGGACGAGAAGGTGGGACCTTTGTGGTTGTTTTGTTATCGGCCGAAACTACAAATAATTACTTAACGTTTTCCCCCACATTTGGGGCTCTTCGGGGTGAAAGGAATTTCTGAGATTGGCTCAAAGCTTCCATGTTTTTTTTTTCAGGTAATTTTCGAGGAGCGTTGTAAGTTGTATCGCTTCTCTGATGATACAAGGGAGTGGAAAGAGCGTGGAACAGGCTCGATGAAAGTGCTTGAAAACACCAACACTAAGAAGTGTCGTGTTGTGATGCGCAGGGACCAGGTTGGTAGCGTATCTGACACAATAGTGCTTCTGGGTTGCAAAAAATTTCGTTTCACCTCTATTCCTGCTTGTCTAGGTCTTCAAAGTGTGCGCGAACCATCAGTTACTGCCGGGCATGACGATTCAAGTAATGCCGCGTCAAGAAAAAGCTATGATGTGGTATTGTGAAGATTTCTCCGAGGACCAAAAGTCCCATGAAAAACTCTCAGCTCGATTCGCAAGTGTGGAAGTGGCTAATAAGTTCAAGGAAGTTTTCGAGAAAGCAGTAAAAAATGCTGAAGGTGGTGAGTGTTACTTTTTGATGCGAATCATTTTTTTT